AAATGAAAAATGAAAAGAAAAGAGAAACTATAATTACTACATGTGTATGTATAAAAGCAAAAAATAATATAAACGACGATAAATATGATATTAAGGTAAATAAGTGCGAACAAAACGACTGCTCTATACTGCTAAAGTACAAATGTTTCATTTTAATTGTTTTATAAAAAGTGGTGAAAAAGTAAAAGAACGATATCGATTTTTGTTAGAGATTAGGTTTATGTTATACACCAACGCACGTGCAATACGCGCTCGCGTGGCGCGATGCACGTGTGTAATTATATTTATTTGTTAATCTCCTCTTTCTCTCTGCCCTCTCTTTCTGTCTTCTGCCTCTAGATCTTTTTTCTCTTTCTGTCACCACCAGCATAATGAAAACCTTGTCGTATATGCAGGATGTTAATAAAAATGTGGGACACTGGATGGATTCTACGCGGCAAACTCGAACAAAAATCAAGAATAGAAAAAATCGCATTCGAGGTTTTGTTTTCGAGTTATTAATTGGTGAAAATCGGGCGAAATACGCGTGGTATACGTCTGACGCGATGGATTACATATACTATTTATACAGTGGGTTCCCAGCTGATACACGGTATCGATAACATAGTGAACACTGCAACTACCAAAAAGGTCAGAACAACTAATTAATACGTTTTTTATAACGACGATTAAATGTTACAACAGTGAACTTTTACCAGTGAATAAATATTAACCAATAAATGAACATTTTTTCCCAAGTTTGTGAAAATTGTCTGAATACGAAACGAGAAATTGAAACTAATTAATATTTAACCATTTGCTTAATAACTTAATTTACTCGTTTTTATGTATAATATTGATTCACTGGTACGTTTTCATTTACTGGTACATCCATCCTACATACGTCTATCATGGATAGTTCTAGCGTTAAATTTATGAATGACATAAAATGAAACGAATGATACCATTCATGAATATACCATACCATTTCATGAAACAAATGAGAAGCGTGCTTCTCAAGTAGAATAATCCGTTGCGTCAGACGTTTTTCACGCGTATTTCGCCTGTACTTTCAACAATAATTAATAACTCAGGAACAAAGCCTCAAATGCAATTTCGACATTCTTAATTTTCGTCTTAGTTTTGCATGTAGAATCCACCCCGTGACAGTGTGCCACAGTTTTATTAATATTCCGTATACACTTGTGTAAACTCTGTTTTCGTGACACACGCTACACACACTCATTCTACCTTCAACATATATACACACATACGCACACACACACACACACACACACACACGACAAACTGATCATACAACCCTCCTGCCGTACTTACGCGAATCGCACGATACGCAAATGGTGAAACAACGCGTAACTTGTCTATCCTGGTTGGTCTTTTGTAATTACTAGATTGCGGATGTTTATGTAAATTCAACATTTTCTTTTTTTATAAAATAATTTACAACGGACAGGAATCGAACAGTTAATATTGTTTCCTGTATCGAGGGTTTTACTTGAATGGAAATGAAATAAAAATTTTATTAAACCATGTTAAACTTTTTTATTTTTTATTTTTATTTTTCTTTAACATTTTATTAACAGTCCAATGCGTTATCTCTATTTTCCCGTCGTGCGTTAACTCCAACGAAAATGCTTCTCGCGTTCAATTAACGCGCGTATCTACATTATACGAACTGTTTTCATTGAATCATTTTCATTCATCGAAAAATATTTCGAATTTGTTATCGCAATATATTTTTATTGCGTATAAATAATTTTTAACGAATATATATATATATATATATATATATATATATATATATATATACACACACACACACACACATCATGTTTGGTTCATAAATAAAATTTAAGGATGGTAAAGAACAGGATAAAAAGTTACTTCTTGCTACAAAATGCACGCTCGATCTCGTGAGAATTCGTGATCCCAATCCATGCATATCTTCGCAATAACCGATCGACATTTTATATCTCTCCCTTGTAAAGCAACGGTTTGTCCGCTTTGGCTCTTTGCGAACCGACTGTATTTTTCTAAACTCGCAGTTCGTCGACCACGTTTTAAGGTCCAATGGCCACCGATGGGAACTGGCCCCTCAGCGTGAAATCGTACATTTGCAACGAACCTGCGACAAGACGATGTAATTCGCGGAATGTCAAAAAGCGTGGCGCGAACAACATTTGTCGACGACAGATCCGCCTCGACTAGAGATGGTGTGCAAAATCACAAACAGTGATTTATCACAGTAATTTTTTTACCTTCAGTGGATCTACTCACTGTGATCATAATTTTTTATCTTTAAAAAAAAACATATTGAATATGATTTGAAAATGAATTACGTTAATACTTGCATTTTTAAAAATCAGTAGGAAGAAAAGAAATTATAAGAGAATGATTTGCTATAATTATACAACATATATTGTTGATTAGAATTTATAATCATTAATTTATTCATTATTCTTCATTGTTCCTCATTATTTCTTTCCGTTATACGATGTACACCCGCGAGCAAACTCGGCTTCCGCTAGGGGGAAAAAGTGAAGTTGGCGAAGAGCCTGCTACCATTTAGTTTTGGGAGTTACTGAAATTTATACCAAATTAACATTCGAATCACACAGAAAAATCACAGCGATTGTGAACGAACGTGATCGAATCACTCGTGATTTACAAGTTAGTGTAGTTCATGCCATCTCTAGCCTCGACCATTTGGGTGCAGACGGACGCCATTGTGCTCCCCTCGAAACCGGAAACGCCGCGCGTTTCCTCCTCCGTATTTAACGGCCGTTGAACCCGTGTACCGCCACACTATCGCACGTCCAGTCGTTTATCTTCCCAGATAGCACATGACGCCTTGAAGACGTTCATCTTACGGCTATTTTAGTTTTGAGGCGCCTTTAAGCCGTCTTCAAGGCGTCATTAGATGTCGCGTGCTATCTGGGTTCTGATTGAGAGAATCGAAAGAATCCGTGATCCACTGTTATTCGATCGGTATGAATAAACTTTTTAAATAGCGTTAACACCGAGAGGCGAATCATTTATTTCCTTTCGTTGTGCCCGAAACTCCATCCATCCTGCTTCTCGCCACGCACGAGACACTTCCCTGCACTCAAATGGTTCCGATAAACGAGCACGGGCCGGTTATGGCACGATCGACAAGTGACGTGAATCTGAAACGCTGGAAGACAAGTCCATTGTAGCCATTAACGAATATTCGACAAGGTGATTTCTCGAAGGAAAATTAATCGAAGACACATAGATCACGATAATCTTTTTACGCTGGACTTCTAATGTGTCTATTTAACTTGTCGTTTCTAAGAGTGTTGAACGCAGACTGTGCTTTTCATCAGACCTTCCCAGATAGCACACGACGCCTAATGACGCCTTGAACACGGCTTAAAGACGCCTTAGACCTAAAATAGCCGTAAAATGGGCGTCTTCAAGGCGTCATATGCTATCTGGGTTTATTATCTTCTGTATATCATTATTACGTTAAATGCTTGTGGAGCACGGGTAATACTAAAGTATTTGTTGGTGTTCGTTTTCCTATTATTTGGAATGGTAAAGATACGTCTGACTAGGTAGAATTATCGAACTATCCTAGACAAGATCGTTTTGCAGCGAGAAACAAACGAGCTGAGACAATTTGAACGAAATTAACACGAATCGCAATAACTCCTAGTCCAAAATCGAAACCGCGTGTATCCGTACATGCAATAAACACAATCAGTTCTAGACCGATAGTACACATAAATGGATTAATATCGTGTGTATATTAGGAACATTTGTAGATAATTAGATAATACCAGGTTCCTCAGATGTTGATAATTGTGATTTGAATTCTTTCGTATTCTTCCGCGTCTGCGTCGCATTAGGGAAACGAATTACAAGAGGGACAGACATCCATCTTGTCAACTCGATGTCTGACGTCATTGGTACCGATGTCAATGGCACTCAAAACCGAGTGCATAATGCGTGTGTTAGTTCAAACTTGTTTTAGAGATTAGGAAAGCTTGCGCTAATTTTTTACGGTTGTTCTTGTACCAGACCTGGCTGAAATATAACTTTCGTGCAGTGAATCTGGAAAACAGATTTAGGTGTTTTTTTATATTTGTTTAAGTAGACACGAAATAAAAGAACGAATTACCTTAATTTGTACTTTTAAGGTGCCAAATATGTAACCTGTTTCACTTTCAATTTTAAAACATTTGTATCTTTTTATGATTGAAATTAACTCCGACACGACTACCAGAGTCGGGCGAAATTTAGACTGATAGTTTTTTTTTCACCCAGGTCTGTTAACAACAAAAAATCTGAAGAGGAAAAGAATACAGATATTATATTTACCTATACACTGGCCTGTACTTTTTTAGTTTCTTTCTTTGTAATAGCACTGTTAAAAGCATCTTGCGTGATCGTATTTTGAATTCCCTGTGTATATTTTCAAACGGAGCAACAACATATTCCAAATTCGTTGAGACAATATTTGGGTATTCGTATTCAGATATTCATATTATCCATATATCAGAAAGAATGATGCAAAGTACAAATATGCAAATAACATTTGTCACTTGGGCAAGTACTTGATTTATTATTTGTTTTCGAAGCTATTAAAGAATAATTATGTAATAAATAATAATTTTGCATTTACATAAAAAAATAGATAGGGAAGTTTAGTAGCTGTCCCAGTACTCATAGAAATATTCAATTGATTTGGATAATATGAGTATCCAATGTTCAGAATACTCTCGTTCAATATTCTAATGATTGAGCAATAATTATAAGGATTTAACTTTATAATTTTGGCTATGAAATGCTTTCTTCTATTGTTTTTATATCTATGTAAGATCATAAATTCCATTTCAAATACATTTAATTATTCTAACGACAATCTGTTAGTTTATACTTATTACACAGTAAGAGGAAAAGTGAAAATGATAAATAATTCCTGAAGAATTGGTAAAGAAATAGCTACCAAATAATTACTTTATTTGTATGTCCGGTTTTTCAAAAATTATTATGCGTATCACAAGTCTGGATTATCACCGGGCACTGTTTCAAACTGGTCTATGTATGATATATTTTCTTGTCTCTCTAGTACCATTTTTTCTACTTTTGGCGGCAAATTCAGGCCTATCAATGCAGATATCGCACTCCTCTTGCGTGTTCCGGCATCCTTTCGTTTCTTACGCTGTCCTTTTTTTATTCTCTTTATTCTCCTTTCCGACATGTGTAATTTATGAATGTGGTCTGCTAATTTCGCTTTCGATGAAATTTCTATTTTGCATATGTCGCACTGAAACTTCTGTCCAAGATGGCTGGTTCGTATATGCATATCCAAATTACTTTTATAGTAATACACTCGGGGACACTTGTCGTATGGACAAGGAATGACTGGTCTGTTCTCCATGTGTACTTTAGAATGAGCTTTTAAGTGATTCTTCTTCAAGAACACTTTGTCACAATTCTTGCATTTGTAATCTAAACATAAAGAAAACGAACTAATGGAATTGGCTGTTATTGAATCTTTAATAATCTAATAAACATAAAAAAATCACATTAATAAATACGTACGAATTACATGCTGTGTTTTCAAATGAGCACAAAGGAGCTGCCACTTTTTAAAATTTTCAGTACAACCTGCTACAGTACAACTATAAGTTTTTGTTCCCTCGTCATGAGTTGCTCTGTGTCTTTTATACCTTCTAAAATTTGTAAAACTCTTATTACATTGATCGCATTTATGTAGTTCTCCAGTATGCATTGACATATGTGTTGCGAGTTGATACTTTTTAGTGAATGTTTCGTTACATTCTTTACAAGTTAATTTACTGTGGTCACCATGCATCAAGTTGTAATGACGCTTCAAATTATGACGATTACTAATGGAAAGTTGACACTCTGGGCACCTTAAATATAAACAAAATAAATAATTATTTAAATACGAGACCTAGAGAATATCGTAAAATAAACTGTTTCCTACTCATATGTCTTTTTCACTGCATCATGTGTTTCCATATGACGTTTTAAATGAGAAGAATTCGTGTAGGCTTTCTCGCATCTTGGATAATTACATTTATAACTCCTCTAAAATTAAGAAAGTACATAAACTTAAATGAAATATTACATTTTTAAAAAAACGTAAAATACATACCTCTCCAGTATGAAATCTAATATGTCTAGCCAATCTGGATGGCCTAACAAAAGCCTTGTCACACCCAAGAAAAGTGCATATATATTTCTTCTCATCTTTTACGACCTGAGCACATGCAACATTTGCTTTTCGTATTACATCAGAATTTTCAGATTCAGATAGAACAGTATCTGATTCCGAATTTATGTCTTGCCCCATTCTATTTTAAATTGTTCCTTCTTAAATAAAACAAAAACCAATTATATATTATAGTACTATGATACTTCAATTACTATTAAGGACAAAATAATATGTTACTAGCAATGTTATAGAGTGACAGAAAAATCAGTTTTTAATGAAAAATCTATTTTAAAAGATACGAAAAGTCTCGATATAAAACAAGCATATTTAGATTACCTTAACCTTTCATAATGTTTACTGCCTGTTATTTCTATTATCTGGATTCAAATGTAGAATCATAATGTCATCAGACAGAAATAACTGTTCCATTATTCACATTTACGGATATAAAATATTTTTCGACAGTAAGTCAATAATAAAATACATTCATTATGATCAGTATAAATTCATGGAGCACGTGTCGAAATCAGCTGTTCGTGCGTAGCCAGGGTAGCACCGGGGTAGCCCCCCTTCAAGAACCTCTTTTTATTCGATCGTACTCAATTCTCAATTGTGCTGAATCAACGAACCGTCATGGTGTGATCAGCTGTTGATACATTTCAGAGAAAACATTTTTTTTCGAGTATTTTATACATCTAATGATATAAACGGCAAAGTGCGTTTTTCATGGCTAAATATGAAACATGTGACATAAAATTACAGGTTTATCGAATTCATCCCAGTTTGTGCATTTCCCGAGAGACTCTGTGAAACTAAATAGCATACAGGCAGATTAGGTTTGCCTATGTTCGTTTGACAGCGTACGAAGGTGAGATCGGATGCCAAATTAAGATCACTTAAATAGAACAAGTGCTAATGATAGATTACAATATACGTATACATAAGAGAAAACATTATTTTCAAAGGACATTTCCATAATCTTGTATATCGGAAGATACGATGCGTATGAAATTCTGCAAGAGGTTAGATCATCTTCAGCGTTTGACATTAGATTTTAGTTTGTTGCGTTTTGTTCATGTAAGTGCAGAATTTTTTTGTATAATATATAGAAATGCGTAATTTAAAAATCTGTTCATTTGACAAATTCACAGTTGTGTGAGATATATGTAATTGAATTAATTAAAACTTCTTCATAAGAGAGCTTTACACAGATTTGTTAAATATTTGTGATTTTATGGATATTTCATACCTATATCAAGACCAGTACGGATTACCTAATATTTTGAATCTCAGAAACATTTATTGTAATATATCAGTTATTGTACATTATCATGAAACTTCATAATTAATATTATTAAGACCTTATTGTTTCAAGGAAAGAAATGGTACACTAATGATTTCATTTAAACTTTTGTTATGTATTTTTGTCTGCTTCATCTTTTATTTACTACTAAATATTAACATTCCTGAAGATGTCCTGGAGAAGGATTGAATATATTCTTAATATATTTGTATTATTTTGACTAGTAAATACAGCAGGCTGCATCATTTTACAATTTTTATAAGTTGAGTTTATAGCATTTACAAAGAGTGTAACATACATTGCTTTAAATGGATAATACCATATTATGAATAATATCAGAATCCTCAGAAACGTAATGGGTCAAACACTCAGTGAGCCTGTAACAGCTAAGAAGTCTGCATGCTGCAGAGATTCAAATTATCGAGTCGGCAGTTCATGCATGCAAGGATGGCGTATTACAATGGAAGACTGTCATGTACACATACTTTCGTTGCCGGATGATCCTGGTACTGCATTCTTTGCAGTATATGATGGCCATGGAGGTAAAGATACAAAAATCAGTCTTCAGATATTAATTTAGATTTTCACCAACTCAAAGAAATAATATTTACAGGTGCTGCAATAGCACAACATGCTGGAAAACATCTTCACGAATTTATAACCAAGAGAAGCGCTTATAAAGCGGGTAACATTATTGAAGCTATAAAACATGGTTTCTTGGAATTAGATGAAGCTATGCAAAATGACATAGTGCTTAGAGATGAACAAGCGGGAACCACTGTTATAGCTCTTCTTATTAAAGACAATATTCTGTACAGTGTAAGTCTATCTTAACTGATCGATGCTTTTATTACCTTTCAGCTGGTTTTTCATTAACTCTGGAAACAACTAATCACATTGATAGATTGGGAGAATTCCACTTTATTCTTGACTTGTATAATTTCTTTAGGCAAATGCAGGTGATAGTAGAGCAGTGGCAAGTATTGAAGGTTATGCTATTCCCTTGAGTCGAGATCATAAACCCACATTAGAAGACGAACGTGAACGAATCGAAGCTGCTGGCGGTTGGGTTGCATTTAACAGAGTTAATGGTCAGCTTGCCCTGTCCCGTGCTCTTGGGGACTTCATGTTCAAAAGAAACGAACGTAAATCACCGCAAGAACAAATTGTGACTGGTAAAATTACATATTTCTGAAAAATGAAGTCCTTTAATTTACATATTTTTTGAATGATTATTTAAATAGTCATTTGTATCTACAGCCTTCCCGGAAATTTCTCAGTTTCAAATAACGGAAGATTGGGAATTCATTGTTTTGGCATGTGACGGTATTTGGGATGTGATGACGAGTAAGGAAGTAGTTAATTTTGTGAGGACACGATTAATACAGCCGAAACACGGAACAGGACAAGAGAACGAGACAATGGACCCCGAAGAAATTTGCGAAGAACTCGTGAAACATTGTCTCGCACCAGATACTCTAATGGGTACTGGTTGCGACAACATGACAGTAATCCTCGTTTGTTTCCTTCATGGCAAACCATATTCTCATTTTATTTCCCGACTCAGAGAACTCGATTGTACAAATCATTAGTGAAATTACTAATATCTTTTTCGATCATATTTCAAATTATTTATATGTCACTTTACACCACGATAAAACAATCATGTTTCATTCCCCATGGAAGTCGTAAGAACCTTTGTAAATCCTCTGGTAGGAGGATTCTCTTAAACCACTTCATGGACTGTCACCTTTTAAAATTTCGTCAAAATAACTTCATAAACTTCGTTTTTATAAAATATTAAACTTTCAGTTTGCTTTTAACGTCTTACCTTTAAAGAAAGAATTAAAAATAAGCTGAATTAGAAGCTTTTATTTACAATTTCGAACAATGGACCGGAAGTGTCCAAATATAAGTTTAATAACAATCTTAGTAAAATGCAGTAAGTTCTCATTCAGAGTCCATAGCGGTCCTGTAGAGATGAAACGGCCGCGTTGGCCAGAGAACTTAATCTGCCCGCGACTTTATTCACCCCTTGACGTACACTTTCTCGAACGTCATCTAAATCTACAACTCCAGCTCTTCCACCGCTGAGACGCATTGACAAAGAAGACGTGGGAGATGTTGGTGTAGAACTTCCTGTGCCAAAGTAGTCAGCCGATGAAATGCTAGACGAACCTTCGAAACGACGCAGATTGCTTTTGCGTTCCCACTGTAATTGAAATTACATAAAATTTTATCGACGATAAGCAGAGATAAAAGAAGTAGAAGTAATTACTGTTAAATAATCGAACTCACAGAATCATCGTCTTTGCTATCTTGAAAATACTGATCTGAGCTAATAGCCTTGGCACTACCAAATTTCTTTTGCGCTTCTGATTCCGCCGTCGCCGTTTTACTATCGTTTTTAGTCATACTTGGTCGACTCGATGGACCTACTCGTTTCGGTGGTTCTGGCTCCGCCATTACAACAACATCTTCGCCACGGGCTGACAAGGCGTTATAATAATCGTCTAATATAAGGAGAAAACTTCGTTCTACATTACCAACATTTGGCTCGGAAGCGTTTACAGTCTTCGATGACGTTTCTTGTGTTATTGTCCGCATATCACCAAGTGCAGAATGGCTCGCACCACTGTAAAGTATTTATTATACATGCTTTAATATATTATATTAAGTTGTTACTGTATAGTATTATTTTTTTTTTAAGTATTAATAATACATATAAAGATATGATTCAGAGTTTACAAGTGCCTATATGCAACAGTATACAAATTAAATAAATAAATGTGTGTAGGAAGAACAAGAGTTACCTTCGTGTGTTGAAACCCATACCAAGACGTTCTGCTTGTGTTGCTTTGCATGGTTCAAAATGCTTTGCTCGTTCTTCTACTTTCTTAGCTTGTTCACTCAAATTCTGTTCATATCGATAGGCAAGACGCGTAGCAATTTCTTCTTGTTCTTCCTTATTTGCATTATCCTTGTGATCTTTTTCTTGTGATTCTTTACTAGCCTCGGAAACACTTTTTTCTAGTTCATCAAAATTTGTTTTGACTCTCTGAGCGCCCAAGCCTCCAGATTTCTTCCCCAACTGTTATCAAAAAACAAAAAAATCTGCAATAACTTTTTCAATCGAACTCTACTAATTGGAAGTTGTAATTAATATACTAAACTGTGTAACAGAACGGTAAATACAGGAAAGTATCTATACTAAAAACTTCAGTTTAACTTGCAAATATTTAGCATAATACTCAATAACGTTGTACTGGATGTGAGTGATTCATAAATAATCCTATTATGAACTTACACCAGGTTTTTTAGACATAACTTTCCTAACTCCTATAGTTGATTTCCTTTCCAGTACTGAATTTGAGGTTGAATCAGATAATTTAACTGTGGGTCCCAAAGCATTTGATGCAACTTCTGGTATATTTTTCTGATTACTTTTTTCAATATTGTCATTGACTGGTACAGAATTAAGAGTAGACTGTGAATTTCCTTCCATATGTGTTGAGGACTCGTTATCATGTAAATCCAAATTTTCGTGCTCTTTAAAGAAGTCAACTTCATTATGTTCCTCTGATGTTAGGGCTGAATTCTCTTCTAAATGCAGCTACAAAAGAAATACCATTTTAAGAAATGTTAACTGTTTTCAGAATGCTCTGAAATATAATTCCTTTAATAATATATTTCATTTAAAATACATACATGCAAGGTGAGTTAGACACATAATACTGATATTCTTAAGTATTTTATGACTATAAAACAATGTGTGAAACAAAGTGTAGGTAACAAAGAAACAATTTTATAGAAAAAATTGTGCAAATCTTTCAAAAGTTTTTCACAATATACAGTCTAAAAAGTAACCACCTATCATCTTGAAAAAGCTATTATTCTTTTTTTTTTTCAAAACAAAACATGAAGCAAATGTTAGTAATTTCATGATATTGCCTTGTGAAAGAAGTTTTGGAGCTCACCACTTTCTTATTTTTGGTAGAAGGAAGAAAAACCTATAATTACCATATTTATAGTTCAAAATGTTTGATTAATCAAAGTGTACATTCTGTCAGGTTCATATGCATTAGGTATTCTAAACTTTACCTTTCTTCCATACTGTCTCATTGCTTGAGCAGATGCCTGTCCCAACTTTTCCCTGTACTGCATAGCAGCACGCGAGTTATACTTTTGTTGTGCATCAGTTGTTGTACAGTTATGTTGTGTAAAAAATTTTCTCTGAAACATAAAATTAAAATATTATTCCGAATGCTAGCGAATACTTATTCAATTTAAAACCATCCATAGTGGATAAATTGTTTTAACAAGAAACTAACAGCATTTGCATTTCCACCCAATTGCATATTTCTCAGTTGCAGCCAAGTCCAGTTTGTATCAAGTTGAGTAGATCGTACAAATGTCAAATGAACACCTAGTCCTCGATGCACTGCAGAACAGTCGATGCACAAGAAGATGCCATAAGTAACACTGGCCCATGCTGGATTCTTTGCATTGCAATCGAAGCATGTCTATGAAAAAAAGAATAAAATATAGTCTTCAATATGTGTTATACCATAAGTGAATTTGTTATCCAATCGTAATTTAATTTAAACATTCAATTAACAACTTTTATTTTACTTGCAACGTAATATACAACGATATTCGGAAACGTAAAGTGATGAAAGCTTCCTATGACATATGTAATGAGGAAACAAATGTTTCAAAGTAAATTACAGGTTGGAAATGAAAGTATGACGTTGCCTTTTAAATCATTATCAGCAATGTTCTTATCTACCTTAAGATTATTCGCGGATTCAACGTCGTAGAGTAAAGTGATAAATAAATAAACAAACCTTGTTTGTTGGAATGGCTCGCAACCTTTTGAAGATTTCCTCAATATCACTTTTACTGGGCGCTGGATCTGCCATTTTTGACGTGTTGTCAACGGCCTCGCAAAGTATTCTGGGACGCGTGGCGACGATCAGTATGTACATTGTACAGAGGTCGCTTGCAGATCATTTAAACTCTACATGTACCTTGAACAATAATAAAAATTAACACCAGATAAAACTACTTGAAATTATCAATAATTAATTCAATAATATGGGATCAATTAGTGTCGCTCTAAATACTTCTTTAAAAGAATTAATTAATACACAATGCTTTTAAGAAACATCAATTATATTATGAATTTATTATAAATCTTCTCCTTATAATACATGAAAGTATGAAAGTTGTAATTATACAATTATCGGATATATCAAGACTTCTTTTTATCCGTCGATGTATCAGATCGTTGCCCAGTATTTGGAGAATCGCTCACGTTCACCTCCTCTTCTTCCACTTCCAGGCTATTTAATCTACAACCGCTGGCGTTACAATATTGTTTGTGAAAAACGATATATGGTTACGACACATTTCAAGGAATCGTATTGTTGCTAGGAATAACGATTAAGGTAAGCAATAACAATGTTTCTTTTACCCCAACAGATTATCTATGATTTATATAGTCTAAATGTTTCCTTTATCAGTTTTTCAGGTCGACAGTTATATCGTCTCTACCCACTATAACAATACAATTCATTGAAAGGCACTGTATACCAATAACTTACTCATCTTGCTCTAAACTGTACAACATTTGAAAACCAGCATCGAGGCTAGGAGGGAAGCCCATTTCAGGATCTAGTAACTGAAGAGTCGGAACCTCTCGATAGACGTTACCGAATTCATCGAGTTCCTCGAACTGCAGTTTGTTGGCTGCTTCATCTAAGACCATTCTAAAAATCGAAAGAACATTAACAGAGATGGAACATTTCTTTTTTTATAGATTGCAGCCTTTTCGATGCAGTTAAATACTTAGAACTACGAGCATTAAGTTCAAGTTGCCTCTGTTTCTCCATCATTGCTTCGACCTTCTTTTTCATGTTCTCCTCGAACTTCAGAACATATTCTTGATAGTAGTCATGAAGAGCAGCAACACCACCAACACCTGTCTCTAACAGAACCCTCTCTACTATGTCCTATAAAAAATGTATTAAATAATCACTAGTAATGAAAATGAAATAACACGGTTTCTAATGTATTTTATCTTACAGGAAATCCATGGGCTTTCTGTTCATATGCTACTTTCATTAAAAGTGTCATTCTTCGAAGAAAGTGATCTGCAATATCTGTAAGTGTATCTATAGCTATATCCGATGACTTTTCAAATCCAATGTGTGCTAAGAGAACAATGACTGTATGCCTTAGTATGGCTCGTGTTGTCTTCAATGTGAGGTAATGTACTGTAGATGAATCTTTGAATGTATTTCTGAAAAAATGACAACTTATAAATCATTTCATAAATGGTAGGTGTTATTATAGATCTATTGTAATACCTTTCTTTCTGTACAGGTAAAAACTGAAATGAATTCTGTGATTCTTTGACATCCTGTAATTCCTGTGCCTCGATTGTGGTCATGTTTCCTAATACCATTCCTTCCTCCTGGAAGTAAAATAAAACGTATGTGTATTTCAGAAAACATAAATTTCATATTTTCACAATGTTAGTACCATCATTCTTAATTGTTGATGAAAATTTATAGTATTTAACACATGAAGGTTTCCCATAGGTAATCTGTAAAATGAAAGATGATGTGTGAAAGCTTAGAAACATTACTTTCTTATTTTTAACTTTCAAATCCGCTTACTGTATATATTCAGGTTGGCTATCCATTTGATAGTCACAATCTGTATTATTTGACTCTTCCATAACTTGCCTCCAGATATTTTCTATTATATCTGGAGTGATTACTTCTTGTTTGAGAGTTTCTCTTGCCGGCAATTCTCCCCATAATGTACCAGTCCCAGCATTTTTAGCAGACTTCATGGTAAATTCTATGCATATTAATGTACATTCTTGAAATAAATTAAAGGAAGGTATTAAAATGTATAGTACAATAAAAATTTAATATTCCTTGTATATTGAATAGAAATTTATAATATAAAACTTTGATTACAATCTGATTACAAAGTATTACTAATTATTTATCCATTTATTTTTAATTATTTAATAATAGGAATGTACCACATATGTGAAAGTAGAGTAATAGCAGTACTGATCTATCAATTGAAAATCCCGCGCGCAAATACGACACAGACACAGAGCTCACGACCTATGAAACAATTGTGAAACGTCATTGTATTTTACTTTGAGAATCTGTAATTAAAGAATTGTACATTTCAAAAAAGGATCACAGGGTTGTCAGTCGCAATATCAAATTATTTCAGAATTATTCACTGAAACGAAGAATCTTACGTGAATAAAATTAAAATTCTAATTAATATTACGTCTCATTTGATTTTACTCTACGTGACATTACTATGTATGTACTGATAATTACTGGATAGGTTAGAATTATACTCGAGCGCCATAATTCTACTGTGTATCATCGATGCAGAACACTATCAAAATAAGTTTCGATATTATTCGATAATCGATATTGTAAGTGCAGTACCAGCTGGTATCAGCGATTAAAATTGTTGAACCTTCAAAAATGCAAAAATCACGAGCCGAACTTGCATCTTTGTTAAAAATGAGAATTTACAAACAAATTTCAAAAACTCAATCCTCCGATTCTGATTATATCGATCCTTAACACCAATGTTAATTTAAGTATCTGGAGCTCTAGACATTATTTAATGAACGAAAAGATTCTTTATCCTGCTTACTGATGTGGCATTCAGTGACGTTGTGTCATTTATAAGAACTTTGTGAGATTTGAGATATGGAAAATAAATTGTTTTACTACTTTAATCATTTCTAAGAAGTTACTTTTAATAATGTAAGTGAGGCAGACTGAATCTAAAAAAAGTCTTTGTTCTATATGAATCATGTAATTCAAATCCTGTTTTAGAATATAAACAATGGAGAGTGCAGCTGCTTCAATTCTAAAGCGAGCAGTAGAAATGGACAAGGAAGAACAATATACAATGGCTTTAGTACTTTATCAAGAAGGTGTACAAATACTGCTGGAAACCATGAAAGGTATACACTTTTATCTCTTATCAATAACTTATGGTTAATCAATTTGTAATTTACTTTTATTAAATGTAATTTTGTGCACGAATGATCAGTAATTCGTTCTCCTGTAATACATTATTCACATGTATTGAGATTCTTTCTGCTATTTCTCTTTTCCTATTGCTTTCTTTCTCCAAGTGGATATATTGAAGAATTAGTAATAAAATAATGCAGAGACAAAGGATACGGCTAGGCAGAAACATTTTGCTACCAGGGCATCGGAGTATTTAGATAGAGCAGAGAAATTGAAGGCTTTAATTAACAAGAAAAAGGCAGCTGGAACATATAGAGAGTTAACAAAAATTGAAAGTGGCAGTACTGGGCATGGTTATAGTTCTGTATTTGGCAGATTCTTGGATGCAGCAGTCACTTACATTCATATTGAAGATCCATATATAAGAGCATTTCATCAGGTACTGTTTTATATAAATTTTCTTGTATTCTGTTGATTAGAAACATTAACACCTAGACAAATTAAACTAACATCAAATAATTTTGTTTCTAGTGTCAGAATTTGGTGAGACTCTGTGAACTGGCTGTGAGAAAGTGCCATGCATTATCTAAAATATCCTTAGTCACTACTGTTGATTCAGAGGACAAAAAGCATCAAATAGCAAGATTAGAGGAATTGAAAAAGAGTTTATCATCTCATCTTATTTCGTTTGAAGTTGAATTTTCTGATACTTTACACGACAGACAAATCTCGTAAGGGCATTTGTACCCTCATTAAGTTCAAAACAGTGTTCAATGAATTAATTGCATTCTGTTAATGTTTTAATTTTGTTCCAGTCTCAGTAATGGTTGGGTAATCAAAATAGGACGTGGTTTAGACTATTTTAAGGCACCTGATGGAAAGTTTGTATTGGGATCTTGTGACCTTGAATTGAGACCTTGCTTGGAGACAACAATTGACATATTTCATAGAAGTCAATTGAATAATGCTGCTACATAGGAAGTAATTATATTCATGTGTTCAATATACTTCATTCATAGACATTATACAATTTTAACACAATTTGGTAATATAATACTTTTTTTTTTTTTTAATTTTTTTAGTGTAGTAAAATAATTATTTTTTTAAATACTAAATGTTTTTTACTTATACCTAAACCACAGACAAGATATAGAATAGTCCTAACATCTTATAGGACTTCGTGTCACATGTTCCCAAACATCGATTGTGCAAAAAATAAGAAATTTTCTGCTACCCTCTACGTTATGAGAACGGTGAATATGGAAATTACATTGCACAATCCACCTCGAGCTCAGCTAGCCAAACTTCTTCACTGCATGTTCTAAGGAGGTCTTGTGTTCAATTCCCACCGGACCTATTACATTTTTTTTCGCGTACAAAGAAGTAATCATGTTTAATATTGCTATTATGAACATGTATAAGTTACTAACTCTTTGTCTGTTACAAGCATATTCGGCTTACTTCTGATTAACTTACTGTGCATATTGTAATTTAGCGATTGTGATTTATTTACTGTGCATAGTGTTAATTTATTTACTGTGTTTTTTATTTACTGTGCATGCTGGCCAAGATTGACGGGAAATAACTGGGACACCTTGTATGTATGTATTTTTATTCCAGCAGAATTCATACTTTATTGGTAACGCGGGTATTAACATTGAAATGATCAGGGGTTTCTAGGGCCCTCGGAGACAACGGCAACAGAAAATTATACAGGGTGTTGGGTGTATTTTATACCTCGTCTGTGCCTAAACTAGTATACTTAATAAACTATACGTTTTACAGTATATTTCTATGTACATATAATAAATCAATTACAGGAGTGTTAAATTTAATTCAGTTCACTGTAATCGCTGGCTTTAGCAATATTAATCTGTTTCGCCGCTCTTTTACATGCTCTTCTCAAGGATTTCGTGTATTTCAACAAACCAGCCTCGATCTGTTCTTCGTCCTCCGTAAGGAGATCGTCAGCTTTATACGACGGAAGACAATCAGCACCGCCAACAGCGACAACCTGCCTCGCGATCTCTGGATCAACGCAGAGTCTCGTTAACGCTGTCGCGGCAGTAATTTCTAAACGTCTATAGGCGTCTTCTAACCCTGGAGGTCTCATTCTAAGGAACGAAACCAGGGCAATAGATGCACGAGCCTCTGCCAAGTGCAATCGAGCTTCAGGGGTGCGGGACAATTCGCTGATCAGTGCTGCCACCTGTTCCATCAGCCAAACGTTTTTGCCGGCTGATTTCTTTACACTTTTCAGCAACTTCTTTACAGTGCCTTGTTTCAATATTACAGAGGCGCATGTTTTGGACTTGGACAGATGATTAAACGCGGCCGCTCCGAGCAATAGGGTTTGATTACAGCTAGTATTCTCGACTAGACGATTCAAGGAGGGTATCAGGTTTCTAGAAAACGGTTCCAAGTAAGGTAGACCGAGAGCATTGACCCAGGGTGCTGTTATCTGCACGACCAACGCCGTGGCCTCCATTTTCTCCTTCTCGGACGAATGACCCGCGATCAGAAGGTCTGTCAATATTTCCGGACCACCATCCTTGACAAATTGATCTATTGCAACAGCAGAGCAACAGACACTTGCCAAGGCACGCAATGAGGCTGCTACAAAATCAGTCGATGTCTTTCCAGCCGTGATCACAGACGTTAGAAGGGCTCTGATGCCTGAACACCTAGTAATACTGCTTCCAGCTCGTGGCCCTGCTAAACCTAGAGCAGTCAATGCTGCCAATGCACCTCTAGCTACCATAATGTCATCCTTTGGTGCTTCTTCCAATCCTCTGACCACTCTCTGTAAAAGGAATGTTGGTTTTTTACGTCACACGGTATTTCTCCTTTTTTTTTCAAAATAATTCTGTACTGCGTTTCATGGTACAAATTAATTCACGTGTCATGTACCTCTATATAGAAGTCTAATCGAGTATCGATGGCGCCGTTCACGTAGTTCCTCATGGTTTCGAGTTGGGACAGTATTCCTTTCAAACTGCTTTGTTGAATTCTACGAGGTGGTGGTGCACCCAGTTCTGATAAAACAGAGAACGCATCTTCCTCGATGGCACGTAGAAGCGCCTTCTCCGATTTCCCGCCTTCCAGATGAGCCACTTTACTGAAATTATACATAATCGTTGATATTTTTCACACTTCAATACGCTTTATCATTTATAATCGAACAATACGAAGTTCTATCCTGTTCACGCAAATTAAATAGCAAATGTTTCAGTATCACTTCACATCATTCTACATTTTAACCCTGGTGTAGGCAGCCAGGTACCCAGGTACCCAATTTTTAATTTCCTTTCACAATTTTGTATGTACTTGTCTAAAACAACGCTTGGTATATTATAGGAGGGTAACATTTCATCTGAAATTTACGTAATAATCGTACGTACTCGAATATATATTGGTAATGGCGGTCGAACTGGTCCGCCCTGACGAGCAGTTTGTTCGCGGCAGCGGTAGCCAATGACGCGAGTGTCCTCAGGTCCTTCATTTCGTCCTTCTCGGAGAGAAACTCGCGAACTTTTCGTCGCGGCAGTGCTTTGCTCTGAAGAGTATTCGTGCACTCGCTCGCGGTTTCCATCGCGAGACCACCAAGCCACGTCCTCACTGAACACGACTGCCTGTAGTTTCGGGACTGTATTAGAGATCTAGAGGATGGCTCTGACTCGAAGTTGCTCGCTATCGAGGAGCTCGTGGTTCTTGGCTCATCCGCGTCTTCGGGTGGTTCCGCGGCATACAGGAAATCGCCTAAACACTCGTCCTCCACGGAAACAGACGACGGGATCGCTGATGCGTCTACTTGATCCTCTTCCGTTCTGAAACGAATGCGTTACTTGTTAGATTTTGTAAATAATATGGTTCTTTCATGTATACGAATGCATGCTTTATCATCGACAAAACTGGGTAATACAGATTCCTCTCCATTATTGTCCCGAACTCGGGTCCGCGTCGGGAAAAAATTCTATATTTCCAGGAGTCAAAATGATCGACAGTTTTTAATATTACTGGATTGATCGAGTGATTAATATAACCTTCCAATTCAATGAACATCCCATAAAAATATAAACCCCACTTCTGGAAAATCGTTATCCTTAGAACTTGCTTCCCAAGTACTTAGCTTCAGCATTGTTTAAAGTTTCCGAATGGAAACAGATACGATCGCGGTGTATTTATTTCTTATCTTAACAGTCGTAATACCGTGGAATAATTATATCCGCGGCTTCCAACGCCATGAAATTTATGCAGCGATGATTCGTCCCGCGGAATAGTTCCAGCCTCCTCGCTAACAATTATGGTGTAACGTAAAGTGTGTCCTTAGACGTAACTGAACGACGACGTATAAAGTCCGTACTCCGGTATCGGGTCATTTAGCAAACGAATCGTCAAAAACGATCTTTGACGGACTAATTGAGGCTCTAACCCTGTCCCTTCCATCAAGCATAATATTGGATACCGCTGTAAGCTAGACAATATTTTTATAATCACCGCTTAGTTAACCCTCTAATGGTAAGGTCCGGGTCGTATTCGACCCAAGTTATTTTTGATTATTTTTTTGTTATTCTCATATTAAAATATTTGTTATTATTTAGTAAATGCTTATATTATTATGTGTGATATAAGTAATTATTATTCCTTATATAAATGAACCAAAATACAGATTCAAGATAATAACGTTTTTGACACGTCTGAAAATAGCAAAAAAGAGCTCGGGTCGGATTTGACTTTACAGATTTATTACTTTTTCGACCTGCCCCGCCTATTTAAAAAGGAAACCGTAGTAAGTAGTGTGCACCTATAGGCAAGATTCAACATAATAGTAGCCGCATTTTTGTCTAAATATCTCTGAAACTACATTACTTTCTCGACCTCCCTGCCTGATTTTTCGTTTTATCATGTAAAATTATTATTTATAAAACACTAAACATCGGAATCTAACAATATAGTACCTAACACAGCGCGATTATAGGTGTACTACGGTACCTGAGACGCGCCATAACGAGACCAACATCGGGTCTCGACTACCGTCGCCGGGTCATCGTTAAGGCCTGACCACTGTCCTCCAATTCCCAGTGCCCGCGTAACCAGGTGGCACACAAGTCCGTTGTTACCGCGGGGAACAATGGAGATCAACGCGCGCGAGAGAACACGCTGACTAATCTGGTCACCTACGGAACTAAGAATCCGTTTTCTCATGGACGACGGTGACTAACGACAACACCAACCCATTTTTGCTTTCCGACTAATGCTCCCCGGTAGCTGTGTACGCGGTGGTCACCTGTGCACGCCGCGATCCGCAGGCGCCTCGAATTCTTGCCGGATTCGCTGTCGTCCAAGGGGATCACAAGAGGTTGACTCAAACCTCTCGTCGTCGCCGCTACGTCATTTTACGTATTCCCCGCGCGACGCGTTGCATTGAATCACGTAGACGGGCGCGCGCGCGGACGCGTGAATCTACACGGTGTCGAGGAAAGAAACGTGTCCGTTGCAGAACGCGTAAGAAGGTCCGTTGTATGGGACCTATGGAGACAAATTCAAGGGGGACACGCGATGAACGACAAGAAAATGATATTCCTTTTCAATAGATTGGGAACGTGTTCCGTTCGACCGGGTAATGAGCCCTTTTGGTATTCTTTTGTGGGACCTGATTGGCTTCCGTTTATCCATGGGACAGATCTTCCGTCTTTATGATTCACAGGGCTGGGGGTCGTAGAAAAGGAATTATATTGTTCGATTGTTTCTTTGTACTCGATTGCTTGTATGTGTGTGTGTGTTTGTCGTAGAGGAGGCGACACAGTGTGCTTTGAAAATTGGAAGAATATATTTATACGTAGCTTCCTGGAGTACACGCCAATCAAAGTTGTCAATTTTGACATGCCAAAACAACCTCTCGGTCTGATGTGTAACCGCGCGAAGTTTTAACCGGATGGAAAAAAAAAGTTACCTATTCAAGGAGGTCTACACTCTGCTGCTTAAAAAGTCAACTCTACGTTCCAGTAGAATGTTGATGCGCGGATATACCAGAGTTCGAATAGAAACTTCGATCCTACTATATCTGCCAAGGAGTGCTCCGTATGCAAATGTCCTGGGTAAATGTATGTTAATCATTCTTCTTTATAGTACGTATTTTACAACATTACTCAAGGATCGTCTCGCAATACCGTATCTGAGATGCAGGGGTTTAATTTGCGTTGTAGATCTATAGACGTATAATACTAATCGATGTTAATTGACGATATGCCTCGGAATTTTCCCGCACGTTCCATCCGCGCTCTAAGATTTCCAAACGAGTTTTTATAAGGCATATCGGCACTAGGATTACCGAACATGCCTCACATAACGATTTCTTCGACGACTTCCTTGAATACTAACTTCGTGATCCATGTTATGCATACCGTTATGGTTTAACCGCCCCGAGACGACACCAAATAATGTAACAGAAAATAGTAGACATTCTCGAAATGAAATGAGTTTTTAATGCATCATTGAATTCCTATTAATATGGTGCATTAAATATAGGTTAGAAAAAGTCAGTTCAATAAACAGATTAAGTGCTACCCGATGAGATACAATCGATATAATATAATAATTTTCATTCTGATACGGGTGTTCAGAAACATTTAATATTCCTAACGACGAGCTACGCTGGCTTCCAATGCACCTGGACGAATGATAACCCATCTAGGTGAATACGTGCGCACACGTTGTTCGGCCATCTTATAGGGGCGAACAAAAGTTTACGAAACAGGCGAGAAATAACACGGGGAAGTACCTTACGTGTTGCATTCCTATCGCTTTGCTCAGCACGCGGACACTATCGCGGGCGATTCATGTTCTTAAAACATACATTCCTCACAGCTTATCGTCTCTTACAAGGTGCGGCTTGGTTTCAGAGATAACACTTCTTAACACGGGATGCCTTGATCCCCATACCTTCAGTGACCGAAGTACACATTACGGAAGTACAGGCTGACAAAACATGAACTGAACGTTGTCAAAAATTTATGATTTAGCCGCGTATCAGACAACGGCAAGTACTGTAGGCTATTAAAACGTTAATGACTTGTTTAATGTAAGTTTCTATTTTACATTTCTCAATTGGGATAATATGTAATTCTGAATAGTAATTGTGGTTTCTTTGTGTCATTATCATCCTGCGTAATACTGCCCGAATAGTTATCGAGCTAATATCACACGAGTCTAACATTTATTTCCAGCAATATTTTTGAAATTCCCTCGCATGCAGCAGATCAGTCCTTTGCATTTGTGTATCTGATCCGCGTCATTCACCTTCTCTTGACTCTCGATCAAGTTCTTATATTTAAAATTACCTCTGCGTTCTTGGCACTTCTCCTTCGGAACGTGCATCGAAGACTGTCGTATTCCGAGATAGAATTCTGGGGTCCTTGGGCGTGGATGTGTACGTGGGATTCGGGAGAGATTCGTCCAACCATACGGAGCCGAGTCTCGGATGCACGCTCTGTCGACGGTCCTTGATTCTCCGTCGTCTCCTTCGACGCATTGGCGTCTCGTTCTCGTAATGTTCAGAGCAGTTTGACCTTTCGGAATCGGAGAATCCGGAGTCCAGGCTTCTGAGATCCTGGCTGATCGGACTGCACGATCTGTCCACCAAAACTATGTTGTTCTCGTCTTCTTTTTCCTCGTCCTGTATATCCATCGTAGCTCTGCAGAAACGTTAATAAATATATAAAATTCCTTCGCTGTAACTATCATATGTCCATAATAAAATAAAAGGACTAGACAATAATTAATTAACTACGGATATTATACATTTCTAGTACAAGCTATTGTAGACAATTGGATAAAATGAACGAAGTTTAACAATAATTTTAACTTTACTTATAATCAAACGAGAACCATAATTTTCTTTCTAGTACCTACCCAATTTTACAAGTATGTATTTACAAAAAACAATGCTTTGCGTGTACATTCATAATCTAATAATTAATAATTAAACAAGAGCATCGTTCTATACTAATACACAGGCATTGAAATCACCAAAAGGAATCTCGTAGAAAGCCGCGAACAAACTGTTGCAACTACAAAAAACGTCATTACCACGATTGCCAACCTAAAATAAATAACTATGTACCAATATTGACGGAGAAAAGTCTCCGTGATAAGTAGATAAAGAAAGCCCGATAAACGAGGCAAGATTGTTCAACACGAATTTCACTTACGTTTGAGTCATTACATTTCCATTGCAAATCGACGCCACGGAATACAAATCTTCCCTATCCTCGCTGGGACAGACGTGAATCGCCGTGATATTCTGTACGGTGTCGCTCTCGTTGATGCTCGACGAGCGTTCTTCTGCTTCCTCCTCGTGGACCTCCATGTTCCGTCGAAGATTCTGTCTCGCGAGATCATCGTTCCGCGCGGCGAAACGATCGAGACGACCCATATCCAGTTCCTCCATTTGACCCCAGAACACTCTGCTCTGACGTCTCTTGAACGCGCTCATGATTGTGGACTTTCGATTCGTTCACAATATTCAATATCGAGTTTCCTCGGCCGTTAGAACAAAGGGTCGTTAAAAGTCTTGTAAGTTTCTTCGGTTGTTTCACCCTGTTGGTGGTAAGACGAAGGATGCGCCTCGATATAATAGGACAGCACACCGGGGTTGTTTCACGATTCAACGGAGCGAAACGACCCTCCCACAGGTCGCGTGCCCGGAGGACCTTATGGTGTCCATCGCAACCCCCGTGAAGATACAATCGCTTATCGCGTCGACACCAGAAGCATTTCTACGTAAATTTACAACAGAACCACACTTTTTTTTTTTCAACTAAATTTTCGTTACAAACGTACTTTATTCGCGATAAGAAATATTCAGGTTTATTCGTTTGAAGACACTTGAATCGATACACGCGGTTCCGTAAGTCCCACTCGGTTCTCGATCGACATACGCGACTGTGAACGATTCTGAATTATACACTTCCGATCAATAAGTATATCCCCGTGCACAGCGTCGAGGATCGATCGATCCAAACGTATCGGTGCCTCGCGTACAACTGACTCGGCGGGATCGAGTCGCTTCCGACTTCCTTCCCGTAAAGTCGCGCTCCCTATCCGCCTCTCGAGCCCGTAAGCCAACTCGCATGAAAACAGGAGCTCCTCCCCTTCTCTTTTGTCGCGTCTATGGGGTGCGCAACTCTCTCCGTCCAGTCCTCCAGGTACCCCCGTGTAACCCCCGGCATGTGTGTGATCCCCCATGTGTAACCGCCAAAGCGTAACTGGGTGCATTCTGGCTCGTCGCGACGGGGATGATGCAGTGGCGTGAACAGGAAATCCGTTCGATTGATCCATCCTTAATCGAGGTGACCGACCCACTGTAATAAGTTCGAAAATATTAAAACCGTAAGATTTGTTTGGGACGGTATTACAGTAAATGCTGGTAATTATACAGTAAATGAACATTAACTAGAAGAAAGTAAGACTAAAATTTACTTATGTAGCTTGTTCTGAATCACATATAATATCGTTATTGCATTTGTATCTCTGTGTAATTTTAAAAAGAAACAACAGTACATCCCACATTACATTCCAGACATATCCTTCGATTTACAATACTCAATTCTAAGCCACCTTGTGTTTAACGTAACTACATATTCCCACGGAAATTCGCATGACGTTCGCTTAATCATCATGGGTGGGGAAACCGATCAGACTTCCGTTCGCGTCATTGGGATTGCGAGTCACTGTATAAACAGCGTTTAAAAGTAATAGCGATGCATTTGGTCGTTATAAAAAAAGTGTCGCGATCTCTCGATTTAGATTCGTGTTTTTAGTTCACGGTTCGAAAGTTTAGTGAAATGTTGCTAATTTTCATCTGAGTGTCTAGAGATCAGAAGTATTAACGTGGTGGCTAGCGCAGTATTGGGAGACACACCGGGAGACGTCACGAAATCACGCCAATGCTATTTTTAAGGGCCAGGTGTGACTTCGGGTTTGGTATCGTTCTCGTGTGCGTGCATATGCACGCGCGGGGGTCGAGCTCCCCTCTCTATAAAACCGGGCCACGGTGGCATTTCCACCACCATCGGGATCCAGGGGCACGCGCCGTTCCGGACACATCTGCGTAAAATGCCTCCAGTGATGAGTGTCCCGCTCGTATGCGTGAGTGCGTGTTATGTGTGTGCGTGGATGATTCACTTAACGTGCGTTCTTTTACGATTCTAATCGTCGATACAATTCGATTGAGCAATGGTAACCACCGTATTTACGAGGGCTCCAATTCGGGACAATACCACTGTAACGTATTCCTCCCCCTCGTTTCTCCTCCACAGGATTATTATAGAAGATGATACGGGATTAATGTCACGCAACGCATCTGGAAAAGAATGGTTTGAATAAGCATAAATATTGAAAATTATTTATATTCTAGGAACAGTTCACGGTTAAGGGTCATTCCATACGAAATCGGATAACTTTTTGGAGTAACATTTCGGATTTTGTTGACACTTGGATATGTTGTAGTCTTTAGTAATATATAAACGTATCTTGAAGGATTGTTGAACATTTTTTAAATTGTTGTTGCTACAGCTGTTTGAAATATAGTGTTAACCGTTTTTCAGTAAATCATAACTGTGGGTGCTTATAGTGGAGACAAATAAGAGTACCTTATAAAGATTATTGTATGTGTATGTATTATAATACTTATGAACTGAAGTGCAGACGCGTTCGTTAATTATTGAGAAACCGGAGTTTCTGTATTCCGTAACGTCCGGTGTCCAATGGTTTTGTCTCGAAATACCGCATATGTGCTGGAACGTCTGCAGTTCGACGTCGCATAAAAGCGTCAAAGGGTCCGAACGACCCCTATTGTACGCAGAGATCCAAACGAAAATGGGGGACAGCTGGGTACGGACCGTTATTTAAAGGTGCGCGCGCGATTGAACACGCGTCTGCTCAGATTAGTCGGTGAAATTTAAATCCAAAACTAAATAAGTTGTTATTAAGAGATCTGACCATTGAATATTCTAAAACAGATCAGGAGCAATTTTTTGGTACCATAATATTTTTGTAAAAAGACCATTTATTACGTATTTTGCAGATAACAAATTTCAGATTTTTTATTTGCGAATATTTTATAGCAACTGAGAACCAGTAATAATAAGAACATTATTAAAATCGCAATTGTTTGCAACAGGTTGACAAGGTATCTCTTCATGCGCACCCCGTTTAGTTCACTTTGGACAACTCTTATAGCGTTATGCTGGCAGCTCTTGTTTTGACCAAGTATTAGATTTGAAGCTTAAAGAACGTAGATTAAGCCTATGTATTTGTTAAGAAAGAATAATTACAAGATATTGTCAAAATCGCAACTGTTTACAATGGTTAACACTGAGAACCGTCAGAAGCTCTCCGTTCAGTTCACATTTGGACAGCTCTTCCAACGTTGTGCTGACAGCATTCGTCTTGACCAAGCACTCGACTTGTAGCTGAAAGAACGTAGATTAATCTCCTGTCAGTGGCAATAACAATAAACGACCAGAACACTATTAAAATCGCATTTAATTACGGAATACCACTATTTTTTTGACCGGTGGCGCCACCCGCGGTAATTCGCTCAAACTGCTAGCGAAATAATACCGACAGGTGAGTGAAAATTTCTAGTGTTGGAAAAATGCGAATATCTCGGTAATTAAGCGCTTAAAATGAACGTCATTAGTCTCAAACTGTTCCTCGAGACTTAATGCATGGACCCAATAGTATAGAACCCCTGAATTAGTAAAATTAGTTATGCCTGTATTACTGTATCCCTTATGGGGTGGCAACCCTAACAACAACAGGTTTGGATCGCATTTATACTGCTGAACGGTCATCATTTTTCCTCGTCACGCATTCAATTAGAAGTTTAAAGAACGTAGAATAATACTCTCTAACGGCTGGGAACCAGTAATTACAAGAACATTGTTAAAATCTCAATTATTTGCAACGGTTGACACTGTATCTCGTCATGTGTACCCCGGTTAGTTCACTTTGGACAGCTCGTACATCGTTATACGGACAGCTTTCGTTTAGCTGAAGCACTCAATTTGTAGCTGAAAGTACGTAGATTAATCCACTGTTATTGATAATAACAATAAACGACCAGAACACTGTTAAAATCGCATTTAATCGCTGAGTACCACTATTTTTTTGACCGGTGGCGCCATCCGCGGCGAATCGCTGAAACTGCTAGCCAATTATATGGCTAGCAGTTTCAGCGATTCGGCACGGGTGGCGCCACCGTTCAAAAAAATAGTGGTATTCCGTAATTAAATGCGATTTTAACAGTGTTCTGGTCGTTTATTGTTATTTTCAACGACAGGGGATTAATCTACGTTGTTTTAGCTTCAAACTGAATGCTTGATCAAGACGTAACTTCTCCATAGAACGTTGGAAGAGCTATTTAAAGTGAACTAAACGGGGTACGCATCGCGAGATAGAGTGTCAACCGTTACAAAGAATTGTGATTTTAACAATGTTCTTGTAATTACCGGTTCCCAGCCGTTAGAGAGTAATATTCTACATTGTTCAAACTTTGAATTTATTGCGTGACAAGGAAAAATGATGACCGTTCAGCAGTATAAATGCGATCCAAACCTGTTGTTGTTAGGGTTGCCACCCCATAAGGGATACAGTAATACAGGCATAACTAATTTTACTAATTCAGGGGTTCTATACTATTGGGTCCATGCATTAAGTCTCGAGGAACAGTTTGAGACTAATGACGTTCATTTTAAGCGCTTAATTACCGAAATATTCGCATTTTTCCAACACTAGAAATTTTCACTCACCTGTCGGTATTATTTCGCTAGCAGTTTGAGCGAATTACCGCGGGTGGCGCCACCGGTCAAAAAAATAGTGGTAATCCGCGATTAAATGCGATTTTAACAGTGTTCTGGTCGTTTATTGTTATTACCACTGACAGGAGATTAATCTACGTTCTTTCAGCTACAAGTCGAGTGCTTGGTCAAGACGAATGCTGTCAGCACAACGTTGGAAGAGCTGTCCAAAGTAAAGTAAACGGGGTATGCGTGACGAGATACAGTGTCAATCGTTACAAACAATTGTGATTTCAACAATGTTCTTGTAATTACTGGTTCCCAGCCGTTAGAGAGTATTATTCTACGTTCTTTAAACTTCAAATGAAATGCGTGACGAAGAAAAATGATGCCTGTTCAGCCGTGTAAATGCGATCAAACCTGTTGTTGTTAGGGTTGCCATTCCATAAGGGGTCAGCGTTAATAGTAGCATAAATAATTGTACTAATTCTGGTGTTCTGCAGTATTGGGTCTACGCATTAAGTCGTGAGGAATAATTTGAGACCGACGACGTAGGGGGCAGCAGAAAATCCCTGACTTTTTACATTATGGGTATTTCAGAACATGAGACACGAAGTCCCATAAGATGATAGGTCTCTCCTATACCTAGTCGGTGACACAATGCTAGCGTGAACTAAAACGGATAGATTCCTACTATTATGCCAGATTTGGCCGCTTGCTGCAGCACTTGCCTGGGA